TTTGATTTTGTAAAACTCAAGTAGGGTAACTCTGTTCGCAAAAAGTGCGCTTTTGTGAAGAGGGCGCCACCAAATTTTGAGGACACTTTTTTAATTGGCTCAAAGAGAGAAGTGGCCCATCTTGTCTTGTACTATCTTTGTTGGTTTTGGAACATCTTTAGAATTTTACTTTTGCCTGGAGTCTCGAAAGGAGAAAGCTATGTGCTTCCAATTGTTTTAGTGTGTGGATTTGCTTTTCTTTAGGAAAAATAAGTCTTAAATTTGGAAATAAGTCTGGTCACCATGATTATGTGGCAGTTTATGTGGTCTGTTTATATCTATCTACATCATAATAGTAGGATATTTCTTTTCCAGAGTTATAAAAATGAAACTGTGGAAATGGGTTTGCTACAGATGTTGGAACAGTTTGCACCGGCATATTTGACTAAAAGCCTGAAAACATAAATTATATGTCAGCAAAAACGCTTAAGTTATTTTCAGACAAGGCATCTTTTGTAAAAATCAGTTAGCTAATTATAAAGTGTGAGCAACTGTCATGTAATAACTATAGTCAGTTGGTTTGGCACAAAATGCGTGCTTGTATGTGTAAGAGGGAGAACCAATATTTTAAAATATATTTCACTATGAATTGGTTGGTGTATTTGGTCGTGTGTCTTTGCTGTAAAGCGCATTGGGCATTCTCACCATGGAAATGGGCCATAAAAATGCGGTCCATTGATATAATTGTTTTCAGATCCTGCAAAAGTTTTTAAAAATGTAAATATAAATGAGTTTAGATGGTAAATTTTATGAGTGATATAATACGATAAGTTTTCTCTTGATTTTTTTTTCTGTAGACTAGTCCGCCATTCCTGATACGAATGTAGATGTTGTTTTTTGTGCTGTTATTTCATGTTTATGCATTGGAATGATTCTGAAAGCTACACTCAATTTATTATATTGCCAAAATTTTTCTGTGTAATGTCTTGGCCTTTAATGCTTTTCATAACTTTTTCTTTTTTCTTACAGAAATATTTGCTGTTTCTTGTTTGGTTATAATCTCAGAGAATTTAAAATAGATGGAAAAAATATAGACCTACTTGATTTGTCCCATAGAATTCAAATGCGGGAGAAAAATATTTTAAGTTAAGCTGATGTGACCACAGAATTCAAATGGAGGAAATATTTATCTGGGCGGCCCTATTCGTGGTCATCATTACTTGTTAGTGGAAAAAAAAATGTGGAAAATTTTTTTTTAGGTTTCCCTTTTTTGGTTACACTTTTAAGCCAACGTTTAATTATTTTTCTGATAACACTAACACTTAATTTTTCATTTCTTCTCTGTTTAGCAATCTTCAATGCTGAATTTATCCTCACTGGAGTCATGAGGCAGGAGGTGGATTTCAATGTCTTCAGAATAGCGGCGCAGTGAAAAGAATGTTCAGATAACCACTCAGTGAAAAGAATGTTCAGATAACCACTCTGTGAAAAGAATGTTCAGATGACCACTCAGTGAAAAGAATGTTCAGAATCGCCTCTCAGCGAAAAGACACTCATTTCATGTGGAGAACATCTGCTTTGGAAAAGCATTCTGGTCCGTGAAGAGACTCCTTTGCATTGTATGGAGAGACACCCTGGGAAAACTCTCCACTGCATGAAAATACACTTTAGTAGCCTCAGTTGGAGAGACCGAATCTCCATGTCGATGATTTCATCCTTGAATTGGGGAGCTCCGGATCAGCTTGTTTTATTGGGGAGCTCTGGATCAGCTTGTTTTATTGGGGAACTCCGGATCAGCTTGTTTTATTGGGGAACTCCGGATCAGCTTGTTTTGTTGGGGACAGAAAAATCTTCCTGATTTTGTCTCTTTTCCTTATTATTTAATGGGATTGAAGAGGATAAAAAAAAAATTAAGCTTGTTTATTTTGCTTCAAGAGTAGGAAATCACTATTTATCTGGTATATTATTGTCAGAAGATCATCATCATCATCATCATCCAGTGCCAGATCTGCGACAGACATCGGCGATCATGATTTTCCGTTCATTCCTTTGCTCGGATGCTCTCAGAAAAGCTACGTTTCCCTGATTTTTCCCTGTTACCCATTTGTTTAGGTTCCCTAAGTATGTTGTTCTGGGCCTACCCCTGCCTCGCTTGCCCTCAATTTTGCCAGTGAGAGAGCTAGATGTTCAAGACCCTTATGTCTATTCAGGTGTCCCAAAAACTGCATTTGTCGTTTCCTGTCAGAAGATACATGAAATATATTTTTTTTAGGTCTTAGATTTTGCTAGTTTGCTTTTGACTACAATATGGAAGGACAGTTTTGCTCTTTTGGTTTTGTCATTCTATTATAACTTCTATAATTTCAACAATGTAGATGAATCAGGATGATCAGTTCAGTGAAAGATGGGACTGGTAAAGGATTTGGATTAGGATCACATGGAGCAAAATCCACACGAACAGAGTACATGCATGTCTTCCTGGTTTCTTCACATTTTGCTCTCTGTTCAGTTTTTGTTGTTCTGTCCCCTCGGTTTTATGCAAAAAAAATTATGAAATTTTTCAAACTGAGCCCCAAAATGTTAAATTATGTGATTCTGTTACTTTTAACAAAGCATGAAAAAGGAAAATTATCAGAAATTACGCAAAAATTGATCAAATTTTGCTAAATTATGGGGGGTGCATAAAACCACAGGGACAAGTTGTTATATATTTTAGATAGCTGTTCTTTTAACTCTGCTCATCTGTCTGTCTGTCCATCTGTCCGACCAGTCACATGAGGTTAAGTATACAATTTCATCTGCTATGCAAACTTTGCTATTATCTTTCTGTGGATGGGTGGAGGGTGCTCTGATGGGGTTTGCTCCTTCTTTCCTGTCAAACATCTCTCATCCTTATCAATATCTCTCAACCTTCCTTTTTTTTTGTATTTTACTCTCTAGTGACTCCTCTAATTTTCGGTACTCATATGACTTGGTTGTGCTGCAAGTGCCATAAAACTTTTACTAACACTGCATTTTTCAAGTTGTGCCTCCTGTTAATATCGGCACAGTGAGACTTGACTAGTTGGTGTCCATTTATTTTGTTTTTATTAGAAATGAATTGCTGAAAACTACAGAATTGGGTTATGTGAATGGTTAATTTTAATTGCTCTAAAGATGACAGAGTCCCCTGAATATACATGATATAAGGTATGTCCAAAGAATTAAAAAATAGTACTAGAATGCTGACTGGCCTCTTCGCCTCTCTTTGCCACGCGTCCCTCGCGTGGCTGACAAAGATGGCGGGTGCTCTGGTGTGGTTTGCTTCTTCTTTCCTATCAAACATTTATCGTCCTTATCTCCCTTTCTTCTTTTTTATGTTTGTTACTCTCTTGTAACGCCTCTAATCTTCTGGCGCATATATGACCTTATGCAGTTGCGAGCGTCGTAAAACCTCTACTTAAAAAAAAAAGTTAGTATAGATCTTAGTGACTGATCAGCAGCCTTGATGACCCTAGTCACGTCTGGTTAATAGATCAGGCCTCCATTGTCTCTTCTCCGAGTGAATATTGAGCTGTCAGATGTTGATTCACCGAGAGAGGTGACTTTTCATCGAGTGGACTTTGCAGGTATTGCATCTTGACATTTCTGACAGCTGTCTGCAGATAAAAACCACTAGTGTAGTGGAGAACATGGTGGTGGTAAATGCTGGGGGATTTTAGAAGCGAAACAAACTGTTTGAGATGGACAGGGAGAGAGACTTGGTCAACTGCCTCAGCCTGTGGTTCCTCATCCTCGCTGGTTGCAGTCTTTTTCTTCTTCTTCTCGATCGCATCACACTTGAATCACACTGGTATCTGTCATAAATTGGGCCATCCTGCCCAGTCACAGGGCGAGCACCATATCTAAAGTTACCTACTTCAAGTGTCATATATTGCAGTATTACGGGATATTGTGGTTCTCTAGAGTGC